CCAACTGCATTTACCGTCGACTGGATATGGCTTCCTAGTTGGTTTATTTCGTACTAATACCTAGTCTTTAAGCTCCACCTTATATGTTCCGTTTGGGTGATCCCACTTTTCTGCAACTTGGTCTTCACATATTTTGAACTCCTCATTTTGGTTTTCATCTGGACGTGCTTTCTTTTGGAATCCTTTGTTTGGAGCAGCTTCAATTGTGGCTATCGTCATTTTGGGGAACGGCTGTTGTTCTACTCCCAGGGTGACGTATTTGAAACATCTAGCTTTGATGGCCCCTTGAATTTCATTTATGAAATGTATACACTAACTTGTACTATGGGTAAATGAATTATACCACTTGTAATAGGGTTTTCCTTTGATTTATTCTTTCGTTGCCAATCGTATCCTTTAGGAATCTGGATTTGCCCATCTGCCAGAAGAATGTCAAAGATCTCATCTGCTTTAGAACTGTCAAAAGTTGGTTGATCATTTCCTTCCATTCCTAGGGTCGGCTTCAACTTTGCGCAAACATATGGTTTCCCACTGACTATTTCTACCACCATTTCTTCCAGTTCCATCATCGGGTCTGTCTTTGGGGTATACGTCTCTACCTACCTTTACACTAGCCATCTGTTGAACCTTTTTGTGCTGAAAATTCTGACATTTCTTTCTAAATAATGATTCAAACGTCCAGCTTTAGATGCTAAACTAGCAAGGTCTTCGACATCGTGAGCGGTTAGTGCCTCACGTAACTGTCCGTACATGTTTCGGACCACAAGATTGGTCATCTCTTTTTCTTCTATCAGAGTCGGAAAATCTGTTCTTTATTAAACGGATCCTTTTTTATAAACTGTGTAGAAGATTCTTATGGCATATGTCTAATTTCCAAAAAATCAATCAAAGATACCGTTGGAACATGATTGAAAAAACCTAGGATGAAAAGATACTTCTAATCATTTTCACGTGTGAATCTGCCAAGTTGACAGGTTGACAAACTAAGAAAAAGCCGTCCTAGTCAAAGGTAAACTGAACAACTGTAGCTTATAAAAAGGATTATTACCAATTTCTCCCAATTGAGCCGTGAAACGTCCCATATGCTCGATAGTCGACGATCCATCCTCTTCCGAAAATATGTGAAAATTGGGTGGCCGATAATTTCGAAGCAGAGGGTGATCATTGATTATTCTTTTTGGGAATGGTTGTTGATATGTTAGTCGGTTGGCTACCTGCAAATTCATGCCGAAATGAACCCTCAAAAGATGCGCGACCTCTTTTGGGTCTAACCTGAATGGGAGATTATCCGACACCGGATGAGATCATGTGCTTGACTCCCAGGTCGATCCTCTCTTTGTAGATCTGCCTAGAAAGGATCAAGTCTTGCCCCCAGGAAAATGATGTTACAAAAAGTGAGGGGAGTTTTTCCCCTTCTTCCTTACTAGGGGTTGTAGCACTTGGAATTGTGTTATCCACGAATGTTGGCCTTGCAATGTTCGCTTGTAGGCGCGAATGAGACATTCCTAAAAGTGTAGGCACGGAATGCATTGTGACTCTCGATACGGCTTGATCAAGCATGTTTTGCATTAAGTTTTTTTACTCGCGCAATATGACCTGCATGGTTGTTGTTTGCTGATTGTTAATTTCTTGAACATGATTTAACCATTCGAAATGGGTCTGGGATATGACCCCCGTGGGAGGGATTGTTGGTGGCGTTGCCGGGGTGGCTGCGATGGTTGTATTAAGGCTTTGAGGCTGGGAACCTGCCATGGGGTTTCTTATAACGACTCGACCAGATCGGAATTGTATAAAATTCTTCTTGGACGTAGGATCAACAATTTTGCCTCGACTCCCACTGTGGTCGTCAATTTGTTGATGATGATATTTCAACAATAAAAAGTAAAATTTAAAAATATATTTCAAATTTGAGTAATAAGGCTTGAAACTATAAATTCTCATGTAATGAACAAAGCTGAAGAAAGAAAATATAAAAGAAATATGAACCCCAATGAGATTCTTTGAATTATGTCTAATTGAAGATGTCCACTCATTCTCACTCGAGTCACTTATGTACATACCATTCTAAACCGTCCAGAACCGCCTCCAAGCCGGTTACCCTGATTTAACCGTCATTGGTTACAATCGTCGGTTACCCTCTGTCAATCCCTTGCCGACACGTGGTTAACCGCAAATCTTACCAACAAGTCGGTGATTCCCGGTCGGTTTCCAAACGATCAACCGAACCAGAGCCCATATTTGGATGGGCTCACCGCCTGACGAAGCGACCGCTCAATCTTCACGATCTATTAGGCTTCATCAACCGACCTAACTGAAATCCTGACCCTCTACTAGGTCTGGCCCACTATTGGGTCCAAACTTTTTTTTTTTCTCGGGCTTAAATCCTAATTTTATCTTTTTGCATTCAACAATTATATATACAAAATTACAACAAAAATACATAAGAAAAACCTATAAATAATTTTATAATTATCCTTTAAACCAATAATATATATATAAATATATCATAACTGTTAGATAATTATATAAGCAAAAATAATTAGATCATTGTTGTTTGATAGATATATAAATAAAAGCTAATCAGATTCAAAATATGATAAAACTTTTTTTCTTAATTTTCGTCATCCTCACTGCTTAATTACTCTTGTCTATATATTATTTCTCATCTTCTTCATTCTCATCCATTTATTCTATTGTATTTTTGTCAGATTACATAATATTATTTCCATTTTTAGTGCTAGAAGTACTTATAACTTTCTTTCTCATTGATGTATTGATGTTTGCATTATAGTGAAGAAAACAGACATGTTTGCTCCACATGTTTGCTCCAGTAGCATCAACAACAATTTTTCTAGTCAAATTATCATTTTAAAAAACTAACTCATCTAGCAATTATCAACTTCTTTATTAACCCCTCGTTGGAATCATCAATATCGTTCAAAACAATATGACCAATCATGTCATTGCTACCATAATGATCTAAGGAATTTTGATTATACTTGATATAAATCAAATTTTGTAGCTTTTGATTTTCTAATTTTTTTCTTTTCTTTTCTTGGAATGAATTTAAAAATTTAGTTAAGATTTAAGATAAATGTCAATTTCTTTTTCGTCGATATTATAATTAAAAATATATATATTTTATAAGTTAAAAGTTAGATTTCAATTATTTACGTGTTAAAAAATAACCCAATGAGCTACAATAGCAGCGTAGCGTAGTATAGCAAAGTGCCACTATAGGCCGCTACACCACTATTGCATAAACGCGGAATTGCGGAGCGGCAGAGTGTCTCTCCACTATGCTATGTCGCTATTGCGGCGCTATAGCGTGCTATTGACAATTTTGAGTTTATGTTTGATCATTAATTATTTGTCATGATTTCAATTATAGCCGTATTTACGACTCTGTTGAGAGTTCCTTTTTTTCATTCTAAATTTTTGACTCTATTATGAGTGAATCTCAATTTTTTATTCTAACTCTATTACGAGGGAATTTTGTTTTTAACTTTAACTTAGTTGACAGTGTTGTTTTTAATTCTGACACAATGGACAATTTTGGTTGTCATCTTCAACTTCTCTTATCAAATTTAAGTCATTTCTTCGTCACCACTTTGAATTTGACGAGATGCTTTTTCAATTGAAATGAGGTGAAACTTTAAATAAATAATGATCAATAATATTAAAGTATATTGTCTCATTCTTATTCGTAGATGTTTTCTTGTCTCTCATTTCTTTTACGAACAAATTGTTTGTATAGCCCCTTGTTAATTCCTTTGAGTTTCGATCTTGCGACTTTACTACCCAAGCGCAGTGTTTCACGTGTTAGTTGGACCCCTGATCCGCATAGACCAAGGGCACTTTGGAATAAACTGAAATCGCTTGTTATTTGATTTGCCGAATATTTGTTAAGCCAATTGATTACAAATAGTTTAGATATTGAATTTATACTTTGATTAAATTCTTATTATCTAGATTATATCGATATTATTTGATTATATCTATTGAATTATATTATTATATTTAAGTTTATCGAGCCTATTGTAATTATATATATAAGTTCATGATTTCATTATTAATATATAAAAATATAAAATTTTGCAACGTATATGGTGTAATAAATGGATTGGTGGGAAACATTAAAGAGGGTAATAAAAATATTTAATTTAACGGTGTTTGATTTATTCTCTTAAACTGCTAATAATTTTTATAATGTTATTATTACATTTTTAAAAAATTACAAATATATTTATTCTTTTTATATTTAACTTTAAGAATTACTAAAAAAAATAAATTTTTTTTTAAGTATATTTTTACTGTTCACTACAAAAAAATATCAATTTTGTAACCAGATTTTTTCGTTGTTAAATCCACTTTATCTGTTACTAATGATATTAGAGACGGAATTTGAGATGGAATTACGTTAGCTACGTGAACTTTAGTAACGGAATTTCGTTACGAATAAACTATTTTTTTGTAGTGGTTGTTGAATCTAAATATATAAAGAATAAATATATTTATAATTTAAAAGGTTTAAAAATAGGGATTTTGTAACACATTGGTAATTTGAATGCACACACATGAAACACTGCTTGCATAAATACGATCCAGAAATTATATGTGAGTTTATACAATTATAAGATACAAGAATTTGATACCATTTCAAGAAATCGCATTGTAAATATAGTGCAATTTTGGCTAAAATTAGTTCCAATAGATTAAGCCTAGTCGTAAAAAAAAAATCTCCACATACTCCACTCCCAGCAGTACTGACATTTCGACACCTTGGGGTGTGTTCGTTTGTAGGATTGTTGATAAAATCCTACTATTCATCCAAAAATTTTCCCTCTAAAAATATCAAATCAAAAAATCAATTTTACATTCAATCACATCAACAAATTTATATCACATCGTACAACTATTCAAATTCAAAAAATTTTACTATTCAAATCCCAATTCAAAATCCAAACCCCCAAACAAACACACCCAAGTGACTACTAAAATTTTGAAGGACACAGGCCGGAAGAATTTTATTGAGAAATAACAGCCAAAGGAAAATCGACACATCTCTAAACAGGAGGCTTTCTAGGAGCTGCAGTACGACTAATATTCCAAAGCCCATCTGAGATCCAACAGAACATAATATTTTAAATAGAAAATAAAATCTTATATTAAATACTTATTACCGATCGGTTTAATAGTACAATTTTCTTATGAAGGCTTTCTGAAAACATCCTATCCTTTCTTATCAACTCTCGAAAGCATCTTCAAATAGGTTTCTACGGCATCCATGCCGCAAAGTCGCTTAACGACGGGCATGGTTGCCGGCACATCCAGATGGAACGTCTGCTCGATCCCATCCACGCATCCCCACCGCTCCAGCTGTTTCCGCGCCGCCTTTACGGCTGCTCTCGCCGCACAATGAACCGCCGCCGCCAGCAGCAATGGCGGCTCCCCGGAGGCTACACATTATATATACATACACATACGAATGACTTATAGCAATCGAAAATACCGGCAAAATACAATGCCTAGGTAGATACGGAGCACGTAAATACCTTTGGACGAGAGGACGCGCTTTTGGTGGTGTCCGCTGTTGAGGATCTCGACGTTGAATTGCTTTGGAATCGTGTCGATCGTAGGTATCTTATAGTTCCACGTCCCATCCACTGCTGCCAGACCGTCGGGATTGCTTAGGTACTCCTCGAGCATGAAAAAACCGAGGCCTTGTACGAATGCGCCTTCAACCTGTCAGACAAAATCAATCAATACAACCGCTACGGCAATGTAATGAAATATGGCGAAGATTGTGTATCTTCGACGAACCTGTCCCAAGTCCACGGCGGGATTCATGCTCTGTCCGCAGTCGTACACGATGTCTGTTCGCAAGATTGTCGTCGCGCCTGTCAGGATGTTCACCTCCACCTCACTCACCGCAGCACCGTAGTTCAAGTACGAAATCGAGCTCGGGTCCGGCGCAAACATGGAGTTCACGGCTAAGCCAACACCTGTAGTATTTGCCTGCATTCAGATCACGAATCGCGCGACGATAAGTAGCCATAATCTACCGAAAGAACGGAACTTTTCAATCGCAAAACGTTACGAACCTGAAGAATCAGATCGTTCCACTTCACGCCGTCGCGTTGCTTCTGCAGCTGATCCTTAACCGGCTTCAATCTTTCTACGAGCTCATTGCAGCACAGTCGAACAGCTGCGCAGCTCGACTCAGACGTAGTACTTCCCGCAGTGAACCCTCCTTGTACTAAGCTCAGGGTATCCGCCTGCACAACTCGCACTTTCTCGACAAGATCTTCGAGTCCATCGCATTTGATCGAAGCAAGTGCGTAAGCAGTCACTTGTCGAACTTTCGTCCAAAGCCCCTGTCCCAGTTCTATGCCTCCAACTTCTACGACGACGGATCCGTCCCAGAGTATGCTGACTTTCCCCGGTGCCGGTCGCATAATCACCGCCTGCACAACCGGAACACGAGAAATGCCTCTTTTACGCCATACATTCGAGGCGTTAAACTCTTCGATCGTCGCCACCCGTTGTCCTAAGTTACACGAGCCGGCTAACTTATCCCAAATGTAAGGCAGAGTGAACTCCGAGGCTTCGCCGGAAATGCTCCCGTGGAACAATTTTAGGCTGTCGAATGAGTGAAGGTTTCTTATCCTTACAGCATCGGCTTCCATCAACAGAAACGAGGCTACATGCTCTATTACAGCTTCGGCGATGTAAGATCCCTGCACTTCCCCGGGACCTCGCATTGCGGATTTACTGGAATGGTTCATCTTGCATACTTTTATGTCGAATGAGAGCGCTCCCCAGTTGTACTTTTTAAGAGATCCTATCACATTGTGAGGGAGGATGGGGCTGATATCTTCGGTGATTCCAGCGTTTATAAGTATGTCGAGGCGCAGGGCTGTGATCTTCCCGTCCGACTTGAATCCAACGCTGTAGGTTACTTTCATAGGATGTCTGCCTCCAGCGACCACCATGTCAGTTTTCCGGTCGAGATAAATTCTGACCGGACGGCGCAGCTTGTGAGCTGCAAGAGCGCACACGACAGCAATCTGAAAATTCACATAGTCGAGTAGTTATTCGCGCGCCTGTCGAAATATCAGTCATAAAACAAAACCGAGGCGATGCAAACTCACCGGTATTGATTTCAGAGCCTTCCCACCGAAACCTCCGCCGACCCTCCTTGTAAGAACTCGGATATTGTGATCGGGGACGCCGAGACACTTGGCGATAACTCTGTGCGCAGACTCGGGGCATTGGCTCGAACTGTATACCGTCATGCAGTTGTCTTCATCAGGAATTGCAAGCGCGGTTTGTGTCTCCATGTAGAAGTAGTACTGTGAACCGAGTCTTATCTAGATTATGGCGACATCGTTAGTACTGTGGGTCAAGTTTTAACTACGCGACGACTCAAACTAAGTAAAACACGATTTGTTCGAGTGAGTAAGTACCTCAGCCGAGAGGATCTTGTGTTCGGCACTATCCATTCCTTTCGAGAAGTCGCCGACTTCTGCTGGATAAAGAAATGGAGGAACTTGAAAGTAACTCGATCGTTCGACAGCCTCTTCCACGGTTAAAATCGGAGGATCCAACCCCTCTGTATCGTACTCTATTTGAGCAGATTCTGCAGCCTGATTCGCGCTCTTTCTCGTCTCTGCAACCTAAATAAATTTTCGCCGATGTCAAGAACAAAAAAAATCGAGTCTTTCCCGACTACTAGCAATCAAGCACGAATGCATTACCACTAAGGCAACGAGGTCGCCGGCAAACCTAGTGATCTCCTCAGCAAATAAAGGTTCCGAGGAAAACACGGACATAGAGCCGATGTTCTTTCCGGCAGCTGGAATGTCTTTGGCAGTGATAACGGCGGCAACATCAGCTGGTTCACGGCTATCCAGAGATATGGCCTTCACTCGAGCCAACGGCTTTGTGCTGTAGATAAATGATCCGTGGAGACAATTTGGCGGCGAAGGAATGTCGTCAACGTAAACAGCTTCACCTACAAAATTCACAGATTGCGAATGCAGCTACACAAATAATCTTTCATTATACAAAAAATGAAGGGTCGATACCAACCCGAAGCTTGGATTGCAGAGCCAGATTTGATCATCGGCTCGCCCACCGGATAGTAATCACTGCTCGACTCCACAACCTGTTTTGCAGATGACAATATCGTTGAGTTTTGCAGTCGAATACTTGGAGTATCGATTATACTCTTTCCTGCTCCTTCCGGAAATGAGCCGTTCGAATCTGAAGCAGGGGATATAGCAGAATTGATGCCAGAAAAGCTATTGAGAAACTCGAAAAGAAAACCGACGGCTAAGCTTGATCTGTAAGCCGCATGCGAAGTTTCTTCAGGCACAACAATGGCGTCTTTCGCCAATTTGATCGCCTCGTCGACAACTTCAACAGTAACCATCTTCCCAGCCAGATAATCCTCGACTTTCTTCGCTCTTGTCGCGTGTTTTGCACCATAGGCACCGAAAGCCAGCTTGACGCTATCGATATAAGCTCTCCCGTCTTTACCGAAGGAAACGTCAGCTAAGAAGGCTGCATTCATATACGGCAATGCGTTTCCAAGAGGCCGCGGCGCAGCGCGATAAGTTTTGAACAGTAGTCTCGAACTTGTTTCGATTGATCCATCAATTCTCGACGGCTCCAAAAATGGGATAGAGACAGTCAAGACGACATCTTTGGCATCCATCGCCGGTCTGCTCAAGAACTCTTCCATTGAAAGCTTTTCGCGGTTACGACCAGAGAGCAACACAACGCTCGAACCAACAGCAAGAAGCAATGTGGCAATATCAGAAGGAAAATCCTTCCGCTGTGCCATCACCAAATTGCCGCCTAGACTAGCCGAGTTCCGGATGAACGGCGACGCAATCTTTTCTATATGATCAGCGATTTTATCAAACACCGGATCCACGCGGGATTTCCCTTCCCTCTTCAAGTACATTACAACTTTCGAAATCGACAATGCGGCACCAAACTCGACTCCGAAGGCATCTTTCCTAACCACCGAGAGCTCGCGGATATACCTCAAGTCAATGTACTTATCGAACCTCTCAGTTTCTTTGTAATAACCGTTCCCCGTATTGCCAACGACTAGCTTGACCCTCCCGGCGTTTCCGGCCGAATCCAATTGCAGCAACTCTTGAAGCTCGGCGATGCTCGCCGGAGTAAACCACGAATGCTTGCCGGAATTCAGACGACGAGCTTCTCTACGCACATAACTTGATGGATCATCATTCAAACAAGCGTGATCCTTCGGACTATAGGCCGGCAGCTGCCTCGACCGGACTTCCATGGAATCTCCCTTCCGCCAGAAAGAATTGATCCCTAAATCCTCCAAATCGACATCAGCAGCGAAGCTCTTACAAGCATCCACAATCGGTCTATATCCGGTGCATCGACATAAATTCCCCGATATCGCCTTCTCTGCGTCGGCAACGGTCAGTTTAGAGAATCCTGGCGGCGGCGGAGGCCCGCCGGAGCTCTCCGCGGCGGATATAGCTGAGAAAAGTGACATACACATCCCCGGCGTGCAGAATCCGCATTGAGAAGCATGGAATCCGGCGAAGCGGCGGTGAATCGGGTGGAATCCGTCGCGGCTGTTGCCGAGGCCTTCGCTGGTGGTGACGGAGCAGCCATTGATGGTGCAGAGAAGAGTGAGACACGAACTCACTGAGAAATTCTCCGCCCTGTTTAGGACAGGGTCGAATTTCGACAGAACCACAACGCAAGCTCCACAACCACCTAAGGATTTGCGCAAACGGATTCATAAAAGAAAGAAAGGTAACATTCATATAACAAAATTAATCGTGGAGTTGTTCGAAATTAGGAAATCGAAACTCGGAAGAAGAAACAAAGGAATTGGGAGAATAATTAGAAGATAGTGGGAGGGAACCTACCTTCGGCGCAGGATAGCTTGGGGCTTTTGAAAGAGGTTTGGGAGCGGAGGAAGTGGAGGAGAGTGGTGGACGGGTCGACTTCTGGAAGCTCGAATCTCTGCCCGTTAACTTCGAAGACCAAGCGGTCGTCTTCGTTCGCCATGGCTGCGAAGCTCGAATATCTAAGCTAAGCACCGCGTATTTATTACTGAGTGGATTGGTTTCGATTGGACTGTAGTCAATTAATTTCAGAGTCGAAGAGGCATGGGATCACCTGTCCAGCATCTTCCAGGCCATCCAATGACGAGCTTACACGCCAGTTTATTATGTTTTTTTTTCTTTTTTTTTTTAAAATTGAAATTTGAAATTAAAGAGAAATTGCAAAGTGTCCTATAGTCCTCTCCCTAATATTATTTTCATCTCCTCCCGAAGAAGCAGAACCTGCATTCATCGTCTTTCTGCTTCGGCTTCTACCTTCGTTTGCTACTTTCTAGAACGGTCGCCATTGATCAAGAAGCAATTTTGTCCCATCATCGTCTTCGTTGGTATCAGTCGACTTAAGGTTAAATGCTGGCTGTGTTTCTATAGGTGAAGCAACAGAAGAAGCTTGAGCACACAAGACATATATGATAAACAGGTTGAACAGGAGCAAATTCTGGTCATATTTTTAATTCTACAGCTGAAAAGGCCTACAACAATTTATGTTGAAAATTATTACTATAAACTGAAGCAGATTCAACACAAGAGTTTCAATTAATTTTTAATTAATTTTTTGAAGTAATGATAAAATATATTTTATTTACTTAATTGTTGATTAGAGTAGAACAAACATATATTCTTTTGGCACCTCCGGTCGAACATTCTCAATTTGAATTGTTCTTTTCTTCACAAATTGTGAAAATTTCTTGACAAAACTAATTATAATTACTATCCTAATCCAACACTTAATTTGAATTTGATTAACAGATTGTTTATATAGTTAAGTAAAATACTAAAGTTATACTATTATTTAGTTGTCTAAGATGTAACTAAAAATCCTTACAAAAAACTTGAAATTTTTTGTAGTTGATCTCATTGCATTCATTCTTTTTTCCTAACAGATTTTTTATTATTTTTTATTTTTTGGTGGCATCAAGAACTTGGCATTAAACCTGAGCTCCTCGATCCATGACTCATGCAACTTCCTCTTATGGTTCACTGACTGCTAGTCATGTAAGAAAATGGTGATTGTGAAGTTGGTCTTGTCTCTGTGTGTGATGTTAACTCCGTTGACGTACTTGTAGTTTTCAATGACATATTCGGAGCTTGTCTCAAGAAGACGTTGTTTTCCTTGTTGGTCTTAACGGACAGCAGCTAGGAATCCTTGAACTTAACCAGCTAGAAATGCCACTACAAATAAGCAAATAAATCCGATTCTAGAAAATACTACTATGTTGGTTACAAAAATTACAGAATAAAACTAATAATAGCTTCAAAATCATGCCCCACGACCTCCATCATTTTCGGGCTCTGCAGCAGCTTCGCCTTTGGAATCATGATACCACCTCTATTGTAAATCTTACACAATTCTAATTACTAAACTAAGTCCAAAATTTAATCATACAAAATTTACAAAATAAAAATTCAAATTATAACACAGACCAACAAAAGCCTCCCAAAATTTATTGTTATTTTTTTTAAAAAGAAAACCCCTAAATTAGCCTTAATTCGATAGATACCTGAGGTGCGAGTGCGGAGGCTGACAATGACTCGATGAAGACGATGACGAGAAAAATTGCTTCTTGGTTGGCGGCGGCAGCTCTGGAAGGTGGCCGACAAAGATTGAAGCCGAGAAAAAAAAAATCCGATCAACACGGCAGGCTCTGGGGAAGATGGAAATGACGAGGAGACATCCAACCATCCAAGGACCTTTTTGCAATTTTTCTATAACTTCATATTTTAATTTTTTTAAAAAAATAAATAAATAACAGATCTACGTGTACAACCTTTATTGGATGAACAGGAAGGACAGAAGTGGATATCGGAAAGATGATCCCATGACGAGTGGAAGATGAGTTATGTGGTGCTTAGTATTTTGTTACGCAAAAAAACAAAAATTATACAGGTATGTTCATAGTCAATTACTCTCAGAGTGGAAGATGAGCTCTGCGTTGCTTAGGCCATCTCCAACCGGACAACTTCATTTATGCAGTTATAATTCTAAAAATACATTTTTTGTAATTTAACTTCAACCCACAACTCTATTTTCAACTCCAAAAAGAATATTCTCTAAATATTCTATTTTATATATTATTTTTTAAAAAAATTATATTAAAAAATACAATTAAAATATAAAAAATTACAAATTAGTTCTTATAGGGACCAATTTACAATTTGCACAAATTTAAAAAAAAATTTAAAAAAAAGAAGTAAAAAACTCCAAAATTGGCGTTGCTAGCAAACACCAAAAATAATGTTGGATATGAAGTTGGGTTAGAGAGATAAATTTCCAAATATGGGGCTGCAACCTCATTTTTTAGGTTGCCTTGGAGATGACCTTAGTATTTTGTTACAAAAAAAAAAAAACAAAAAATATACTGGTACGTTGATTTCAAACATGTGGCTCTGTTTCTTTAGATCAATTTTACCAAGGGTGTGATTGGCAATTAACAGACCGTTGTTAGCTGTTAGTTTATTTAATTAGTCATTAGTTATGAGTTGATTCGATTAGCTATTAGCTGATTCAATTAGCGGATTTGACTAGCTGATTCGATTAGCTGTTTGTATTAAAGTTTTGGTAAAATAACGGTTTTATATTAGATGTTTATACGTATAATGACAATTAAGGACATTTTATATTTTATTTTCAAAATATTTAGTTGAGTTTTTTCGGTGGATAGACTTTTTTTATAATTTTATTATTAATTTTAAAAATTAGAAAAAAATTAGTAAGATATTTATTTTTATTATTTTAAAAATATTTTTAAAGAATTAATACAAATTTATTGAAAAATATATATTTTTTTCATTAGAAATAGTATAAATATAAAAGAGAAAAAATTATTAACATATGAATTTTTATCGGATTAATTTATAATTAATATATATTTACATTAAATTTATAATTTTAAATAAATATTTTCATTTTTAATAAAAATATTATGTGATAAAAAATGCTATATAATTAATTCAATAATATTAATATTTTTATATTATCTTCATTCTAAAAAATTAAAAAAATATATAAATAAAATAATTGATATATAAAAAAATAATTATTTTAAATTTATAAATATGAATTTATAAGTTATTAGAAAAAATATACTTCACATACTTCGTTTGGTTCAGAAATATCTCATTGGTACATTGTTTAATTTGCAATTCTATGAAGTATGTCAGCTATCCAATCATGCTCATCTCAAATTCTGAATTCATGAACTTCACAAACTCATCATTCAACTTATTTTTTGTAGATCCAAACGTAATATCATTGACTTAAACTTGAGCAATCATAATATCAGTACATTTATGCTTGATGAATAATGTCTTATTAGGGATCATCTGGTGTATTCATTTATAATCAGGAAGGTAGACAATCGATCATACCAAGCACTGGGTGCTTGCTTCAATACGTACAAAACTTTCCTCAATTGGTAGACATGATTTGGATAGAATGGATCTTCAAATCCTTTAGGTTTCTCCACATATATCTTTTTTTTGATCTAGCCATTCAAAAATGTTGTTTTAACAACTATTTGAAATAAAGAAAATCCAAGCGAGCATAAGATTACAAGTAATAACCTCACGGCTTCAATTCTTGCAACGGGGGAAAACGTTTCATCATAATCAACTTCTTCAATCTGAGTGTATCCATGTGCAACCAGCCGAACTTTGTTCTTTGTGATATCCACTTTCTCATCAGATTTGTTCTTGAATATCCACATCATTCCAATGACATTGATGTCATCTGGTAGTTCTACCAACATCCAGACTATATTCCTTTCAAACTGATTCAGCTAATCTTGCATAGCACTGATCCAGTACTTATCTTTCAGCAGATTCTTCAATATTCTTTGGCTCAATGGTAGACACAAAATAATTCATACAGAAAATTCCTTGAAATCAATTTGTTTTCCTCTGGTTCGACAACCTCTTTGTGAATCTCCAATGACAGCATCAATAGGATAGGTCTTAGGAATTCTTGAACCATATCTCCTTAGTTCAGTATCAGACTAATATTCTCCAGGTTGTTCAGCAGCGGTTGTAACTTCAATAGATTCATTTACTTCACTCCAATCGAACTGCATTGAACTCTCATCACGAGTCAGTTCTGGAATCTGAGGTAGGGGGTTCTGAACCTCAGGTAAAGTATTCTGATTCTGCACAGTAGGTACATGCATCATATCTTCATTATCCTCTTGATTGATTGATCTCATTTCCATATGTGAGTCATCGAAAGTCACATTCATCGATTCTATAACTTTATTCATCCTTTTGTTGTAAACATGATAAGCTCTGTTGTTATGAGAATAACCAATAAATATTACTTCATCTAATCTCGCATCAAATTTTTGGAGATAACTCATGTCCTTCAAGATGTAGCATCGACATCCAAATGTGTGAAAGTATAACACATTCGGCTTCATTTATTTCCATAGCTCGTACGGTGTGATCTCAGTGTGGGGTCTCAGATAGACTCTGTTGATCACATAACATGCTGTGTTAATCGTCTCAGTCCATAAGTACTTCGCAAAACCTTTGGCTTGCATCATTGATCTAGCCATTTCTTGAAGTGCTTGATTCTTTCATTCCACGACCCCATTTTTCTGTGGGGTCTTCGGGGCTGAATACTCATGAGGTATTCCAAGATTAGTACAAAAACTATCAAACTTCTGATTCTCAAACTCTTTTCCATGATCAGTATGAATTCGATTCACCTTTAATCTTTTCTCATTCATCAATCTTTTGCATAGCTTCTCAAAGACATCAAACGTATTAGTTTTCTCCTTCATAAAATCAACCTATGTGTATCTTGAGAAGTCATCAATGCAGACAAGTATGTATTTTTTACCTCCAAGACTGTGGTGTATCCACTAGACCCATCAAATCTAGACAAGTGTTGCTGCTTAAATGTTCCGATTGCCGATGAGAGACACGTTTCCGCTTTTCTCGAGCATAATCACCACAAACGAAGTTAGGTAACTTCGAAAAATTTGGAAGTCCTCTGATAATTCCTTGAT